AAAAAAAAAAAAAAAAAAAAGCTAAAAATGCACTTGGGGTGAGATTGTGAAGTGTCTTGAATAAAAGACTAAGAGACTTGGGCTTTAAGTTGGTGGGTCACTAAAGAACTTGGTAGGTAACTGAAGAGTTACCTATATGATAAATCTGATCCAAACTATGTATAGTCAGGTATATTCTGGCAGCATTTTCTAGACGTATTGAGCAGAGAGAAAAAGAATACAGTAAATTGATATAAAAGAAGATCATGAATATCTGAACAGAACAGGTACATGGTTATGGAGACAAAGGGATTAAAAGAATTAAGGAACTAGAAGCAACACAGAAAGGCTATGGACAATGGGTAAAATATAAAAAGATGGTGGCTTTTGAATAGGATAAGTAATATAGTAGTCTTCAAAGAATTTACATTTGTTTCTTTGCAGAAGATTTGAAATTTTCAAGCCATGTTTCATTCAGATAATTGTTCAAATTATTTTCAGTTTCCAAGAAGAGTAAGTGGAGGCGGGGGCGGGGGAAGGAAAAAGGTGTGTTTGATGTTAGGGAAGAGAGTCTTATGCTGGAAAGTATAGGTAACACATATAAAAATCAGAATCAGGAATTGTATGTTAGCTGACATTTGTATAAATTTAAAAAGTGGACATAACATATTTTGTTTTCCATTTATAGGACTGGTATACTTCAGGAAAACCTCATGTGTTTTGGCTCTCAGGTTTCTTTTTCACCCAAGCCTTTTTAACTGGAGCTATGCAGAATTATGCCAGAAAATACACCATCCCTATTGATTTACTAGGATATGAATTTGAGGTACAGTAACTCCTTCAACTCATCAAAATATCATTATATCAAAGTCATGTATTTAAGCAAGAAGGATATGTAGAATTTATATATTTTAACCCATTATAAGCAATTCTACTTCTTTTCATTCTTTGTGTTTCATAAAGTATATGATATTTGTCTTGTTAATGCACTATAGTTTAACAAGAGTTTCCCTGAATGTGTTTTGAATATGTATCTAGAGTTTTCTTTATGATACTAAATTGTGTGAAGAATACTAGTATGACCCTCTCCCTTCAGGTTATTCCTTCTGATGTATCTGACACATCACCAGAAGATGGTGTTTATATCCATGGCTTGTATCTTGATGGGGCACGCTGGGACAGAGAAAGGTCAGTACTTTCAACTGCAAAGCCTTCTTCAAATGTGGGTGAATCATAGGTAAGACAACTGTTGCCCCTCACAACCGTGTTTTTTTTTAATCAAAGTCCTCTTTCTAAGTAATAAGTCAAGTAATATAATATCAGAATTCTTACCTAAATCATTATTCAGATTGGCACAAAGGAGTGATTATTTTTGAGGCCCAAACAATTTTTGATTAATATTTCACTAGTCTGTCTCATTAGTAAAAAAGTTAGCTGAAATTATTTTCTTGCTTATTCTGCTGTATAACAGTTATTTTCTATTTTGTACTGTGAAGAACTGACTCAATTTTAAACTGACAGTTATAATAAAGTTCCCATTTAGTGAGTGGAAAACTTTTTCATGCATTTTGATGAGATGATAAATAAGTATTAAGAATAAACATTCAATTTCTAGCTTCACTCTTAGAAAACTATCAGGAAACTATTCCCAATTTCAGATAAATAGGGATAAAAGAGAAGGGGAGAAATATTTCTTTGGAGCCCTGGTCTCCAACAATATATGTATAGGCATAATCCTCTATTTCTGAATGTAGGGTAAGACTTTGCTCCCAAGGAGATGTTAAAGGGGATATTAAAGACTGAGGTGAAAGACCAAGGTAGGAAAAATCCCATAGGAGGGAATAGTAAGGTAAGGTTTTACAGTGACAGTTCTGAAACAGGATCATGAGAAGATTCAATTTCACATAGTTAATTTGATTATTTCTCTTGTCTTTTTTCATCACTTTACTGCTATTTTTCTTCATTTACTTTACCACCTTTGTGTATTTATTTTTTCTTCTTCCTTCCTTTCCAACAAACCGTGTAGACTGAGTTTTTGGAACATCTGTTTAAATCTTGATCTAGCACTTAATAGCTGTGTAACTGAGAAAAATACTCAATATCTCTGAGCCTATAGTTTTTATCTGTGAAATAGGACTATAAATGGGGATAGGATCATTATGAGGGTCAAATGTGATGCATTGTATCTGCCTCATGGGAGGTACTTAAAAATATGCAGGCATTAAATTGGTGCAACCTTTATGAAAAGCAGTAGGGAGATTCCTTAGAAAACTTGGAATGGAACCACCATTTGACCCAGTTATGCCACTCCTTGGTGTATTCCCAAAAGACTTAAAAACAACATACTACAGTGATGCAACCACATCCATATTTATAGCACCTCAACTCATAATAGCCAGGCTATAGAAACAACTTGGTGTCCTTCAACAGATGAATGGATAAAGAAAATGTGGTATATGTACAAATGGAATATTGCTCAGCCATAAGAAGAATGAAATTATGGCATTTGCCAGTAAATGGATAGAACTAGAGAGTATTATACTAAATGAAATAAGCCAATCCCAAAAAACCAAAGACCAAATGTTATCTCTGATTCGTGGATGCTAACCCCAAACAAGGGAGGTTGGGGAGAGGAATAATAGAAATAGATTGGACTAGACAAAGGGTAATGAAGGGAAGGGAGGGAAAGGGGAATATGAAAGACAGTAGAATTAATTGGTCATAAATTTCCTAGCCTGTATATGTATACAAAAACCAGGGTAACTCCACATCATGTATGACCACAAGAGTGGGAACCTAATAGAATAACTTATACTTTGTATATGTATATTCTGCCAAAATACATTCTACTGTCATGTATAACTGAAATATATATATATATATATATATATATATATATATATATATATGAAGCAAAAACAAAAAAATCTCATTGTACCTCATAAATATATATAAATATTATATAAATAAAAAAAATTAGGGGCTGGGGATGTGGCTCAAGCGGTAGCGCGCTCGCGTGGCATGCGCGGGGTGCTGGGTTCGATCCTCAGCACCACATAAAAATAAAGATGTTGTGTCCACCAAAAATTAACAAATAAATATTTTTTTAAAAAATTAGAAAGTTTAAAAAATAGTTAGATATAGCCAATGTCCATACCAACTAACTTCAAGTAGGGCAAATAACAAAACAAAATTTTTATGGTATAAATTATTTTTCTGACAAATATCCACTTCTATTTTAAATGAGCAAAAAACAAAGAAATAAAATTTGAAGGAACCATTAATAAACCTAGATCTTGATCCAGTTTTTTAAAAAATTAGCAGGCATTGATATTTGTGCAGTTTTATACTTCACCTTTCTAAAATTGTATTTTATTGCTCTCAGTTCTTCATTGCCTTCTCCCACCCTTCTCCTACTTTTTCTTCTTCTTTTCCTTTTATACTCTTTTCCTCTCTATCACTGGTCCTCTTCTATATTAAAAGTCAATATCTAAATAGCAGTCTATTTTAAGAAGCAAATTTCACAAATATGTTAGCTTTTCATTGCTGTAACAGATTACCTGAGATAAACAACTTAAAAGGAGATGGATTTGTTTTCATTTATGGTTTCAGAGGAGTCACTTGGCTTCCCTGATTATGGGCCTGCAGTCAGGCAAACACCATAACAGGGAGCATGAGGTAAAGCAAAGCTCACCCTAACGCATCCAGAAAGCAGAGGAAAAGAGAACATGCACTGTGAGAGGAAGGGACCAAGGACAAAATGTACTATACAGAGTCTTTCTCCAAGTGACTTACTTCCTCCAACTACGCCTCATCTCCTGGTAGAGCCACAGGCCAGCATCCAAGCCATTAGTACATGGCCTTTGGGGGACATTTTAGATCTAACGAAATAACTAATAACTTCTGTTAATTTCTCGTTACAGTGGCTTGCTTGCTGAACAATATCCCAAACTTCTGTTTGACCTGATGCCCATCATATGGATAAAACCAAGTAAATACATTTTTAACAAAATTTCCTTGGATTTTAAAGAGAATAATGATAGATACTATTAACTGCTCCCCCAAATTAATTTTTGCTCAAGTCTTTTAGGATCTAACTGAATTATAATATAAAATGATGAAATATCTGTAATGGAGAATATATTGTCCCTCTGCCTTTTTGGTTGTTTTTTTATTTGTATTTTTTTCAGTCCTGTGGACGAAACTTAGGGCCTCATGCATGCCAGGCAAATGCTCTGTCACTGAGCTACACCCCACCTCTAATTTTCTTGATCATAATTAATAATAAATAAAAACATTTACAAATCACCCAATCTATCAAATATTTTCATTATTAATGTGGTTCAATTGTGAGAAATGTCTGTAGTTTATAAGGGCTCCTGATATTTCATATCTGGCTTTTCAGGAATTATACATAGATTCTTTTTGTGAATTGTCAAGAGTTGGTGTGTTTTAGTGTTTGTTTTAGTAGCCTGCTAAAAAACAAATAGAAACTTCAGCTTCTTCTAAATTATGTGTTTCTTATACCAGGGTTCTAAGCAGTTTATTTCTCCTTTTGAATCTCCTCTATTACCTATACTGTATTTTGTCCCTTCTTCCCTATCTTCTTTTGTCCCTTCTTCCCTATCTTCTTTTGTTACTCCTTCCCTCACAAATTCTCTGGAGTTTTTTCATGCCTATTAAGTGATCAGAACTTTAAGATCAGTTCCTGGTTCCTAGACTTGCACCATCTGAAATAATTTTCTTGTTTTATAGCAATAATAATGGACCAGCTGTTAAAAATTTTAAAATTACATTTTACTATAAGATAAACAGTTGTTTTTCAGTACCCATGGCTCTTTTCACTTTACTAAATGAATCTCTTTCTTTCTTTTTCAAGTTGAAAAGACTAAGATTGTGAAGTCAAATGCCTATGTCTGTCCTCTCTACAAGACAAGTGAACGTAAAGGAACTCTTTCTACTACAGGACATTCCACTAACTTTGTCATTGCAATGTTGTTAAAAACAGACCAACCCACTCAACACTGGATCAAACGTGGTGTTGCTCTGCTTTGTCAGCTGGATGACTAAATTGTACAATTTTAGAGAACATCTGAAATAAAATAAAATTGTTTTCACTTATTTTAAAAAAAAATTATAAACAAAATGTCTTGGTGTCATTCTTTCAAATGGTCTTTATGAAAGGCCTTTGCATTGTTATCCTTTTCCTGATTCCACTCTTGATTGCAAAAGGCCTTCTAATCTGACTCCTCTGAGAGCACTGTCAGACATCTACCTGTGGAAAGAAATTTTGAAGTGTTATTTTAAAGTGTTACTTTGAAGTGTTTGGAAAATCTTAGAGTTTTTATTTAGTTTAAGTTTGATATGTATATGTGAAAAATAGATTGGGGAGATTAAATGATAAAATTTGACTAATATTAGAAGATATTCCTTTTCCTAGATATTTCTTCAATAGTAGTTTACTTTCCACATGCCTCATTGAAGTTATTATATATGAACATTTTAAATACATATAGATAAGGAAACTATTAAAGCAATTTAGGAACCAAACCCCTTACTTCATACTTTTAAAATATTAGTTCCATTTCTCAGTGGAACACAAAAGCAGTAAGATGACTGTTGGGGAATCTCAGATTCTATACCCCCACAGTGGTGTTTGCTTCATATTTAATTGGAAATGTCAAGTGATCCTATTGTTATTTTCAATAGTTAAATATTCTTATTATTTAGTATGTACCCATAATATTAGTGTACATTGATTTTAACAATGAAAATATTTTAACAACACAAACTTTTAATCAAAACCGTATCATCTTCTGTAGAGTTAGTTCCTTCCTGAGGATTCCAAGTACACTTTAGGCTGCAGGGTTTTTTGTTTGTTTGTTTGTTTGTTTGCTTGTTTTGTTTTTAATATTTATTTAGTTGTATATGAACACACAGTATATTTATTCTTTTTTTTTTTTTTAATTTTTTATTGTTGGCTGTTCAAAACATTACATAGTTCTTGATATATCATATTTCACAATTTGATTCAAGTGGGTTATGAGCTCCCATTTTTACCCCATATACAGATTGCAGAATCACATCAGTTACACATCCATTGATTTACATATTGCCATACTAGTGTCTGTTGTATTCTGCTGTCTTTCCTATCCTCTACTATCCCCCCTCCCCTCCCCTCCCCTCCCCTCCCCTCTTCTCTCTCTGCCCCCTTTACTGACATTCGTTTGTCCCCCTTGTATTATTTTTCCCCTTCCCCTCACTTCCTCTTGTATGTACTTTTGTATAACTCTGAGGGTCTCCTTCCATTTCCATGCATTTTCCCTTCTCTCTCCCTTTCCCTCCCACCTCTCATCCCTGTTTAATGTTAATCTTCTTCTCATGCTCTTCGACCCTACTCTGTTCTTAGTTACTCTCCTTATATCAAAGAAGACATTTGACATTTGTTTTTTAGGGATTGGCTAGCTTCACTTAGCATAATCTGCTCTAATGCCATCCATTTCCCTGTAAATTCTATAATTTTGTCATTTTTTAATGCAGAGTAATACTCCATTGTGTATAAATGCCACATTTTTTTTATCCATTCATCCATTGAAGGGCATCTAGGTTGGTTCCACAGTCTAGCTATTGTGAATTGTGCTGCTATGAACATCGATGTAGCAGTGTCCCTGTAGCATGCTCTTTTTAGGTCTTTAGGGAATAGACCGAGAAGGGGAATAGCTGGGTCAAATGGTGGAGTATATTTATTCTTATATGGTGCTGAGGATTGAACCCAGTACCTTACACATGTGAGGCAAGCACTTTACCACTGAGTTACAGCCTCAGCCCCTCAGGCTGCAATTTTATAACCCAAGGAAAATGTAGGTACAGCTACCCAGTCAATTTGGACCACTGAAAAGTCACTTTAGATAATGTAAAATGTTTGACCTCTCTTAAATAAAAAATTAATTCTTGTTTGTAGTGGCTATGTGCATGAGCCATAAGGGAATGAGTTCTCTTTGCATCGCTAACCCTCTGCAAATGCTGTTTATTCCAGAAATAAGATGTTTAATCCTTTAAGTTTGATGACTCTAGTAGAGAAGAAAAAGAGATCATGTTTCTAAACAGAGCTAAACTACATGTAAAAAAAAAAAAGCAAGGACAATGTGCCAGACTGTCTTATGATCAAGTATTTATAGTAAAGCTATTTATAATAATCCTTACAGGGGAATGGATCCTAAATATAAAAGAAAATCTTGAGGCGTTCATGTGCTAATCCTTAACAGTGAAAACTTCAGTACCGACCTAGAGGATATAACAAAAGGTAAAAAGTCTTTGGTATGTGATCAAACCTGTTCTATACTAAAACAGTAATGCTCTTTTAAACTACATTGCTTTTACTACCACTATTTACGTGTTGTATTAAGACAGTACTATTAGTCCTATAACATGTTTATTTTTATTTTTTATCAAAGAAAATATAGCTTTCAGTATAATACTGTGTGTAGGAAATGTGTTCTTTTGGGTGAGTGCTGTAATATCTGAGAAAAACTGACAAGGCAAATCTAAAATATATCAAACAACATAAGCATTTTCAAGTTACTATGGCATTGACCTTGAAAGGCTGTTTTCCTAAGTTTTAAGTAAATGGTTACTCATAGAGACTTCTAATTTATGCTGAATATGTGGCAGTCCAGAAAACTATTTTAAGTTTATGGAAAAAAAATTTAAATGAACATTTTGTTTTTCTAAGTTTTGCATTTTCTTTGTTTTTCAATCTTGTCAACTTTCTAGTTTTCTAAATTTCACTTCTAAATTCAAGCAGTTGGTAATCTTTTCACAACTGGAAAAATATTTTTAATTCATTCTAACTTTAAACCTGCTTGAGTTTCACATGGATAATTACGTCAGTGATGAAGACACAGACAATGACTTTGACACCCAGCTCACCATTCAGCAGAGTTTACAGGATATTTACAAGCCAGGAACAACCCAACATGCACCTGATGAGAGGTAATGGCTTTCTCATTGGCAGTGTGGTATTAAGTATTCAACAGTTGAGATTGTCGTTAACATAACTCTACTATTGTGATGAGAACAGGAGAGAGATTTGGAAAACAAGGAATTTTATTTAAATTTTATATTATTTCATTTTACTTTTATGTTGGGATCAAACCCTTGATGGGGTAGAGTTCTGCCACTTAGCTTCATCTCCTAGACAGGATCTGTCATTTAAATATGAAAAAAATATGATATCTGACCAGACCAAAAAAAACTTTGAAAGAATTCAGAATTTAATTAATCAGTAAAGACAACAGTTGAAGGAGATTAGCTGGAAATCTAGGCAAGGAGATGCAGTCTAGAAATCAGAAGAAATAAATGAGGTTTCTGAAGGGTTAGAGAAGAACTCTAACACATCTTGTTCTCATGGAGCTAAAGAAATACATAAGTCCAACCAAGACACATAGAGAATTATTTTACTGAGATAGGTGAGGATAGAGTCCAATCTTTGATCTATTCAAATCAAAAGGAGGAATTATGTAAATTTAACCTTTCTGAAGATATTGATTCTATTACTACAATAGTAGAAGAGGACCAGTGGCTCTCTCAGTGGTAAGAATCTCCCTGGATATGAGCAGTTCATGGTCAAGTGCACCTAGTCAAATGCTCTCTTGGATGATCAGCTACTTCAGCCCACTAAGGTAGAAACCATTGTTTTTGGGGGGTGGGTAATAAACCCAGTTTGCTTGGATTTGTGACCCCTCTTTGGCCTGCTGGAGGTAAACTGGATAAATGTCTTTTAACCCCAAGAGATTTTATAATTAAATATGGAGATGATAAAGTACAACAAACATAATTTTTTTAAAAATGTAACAAATTCATGGCACCATCACTATGTGTCATTCTATTTTAAGCACTTTGTAAATATTAACTCATTTAAATTCTAATTCTCACTGCTTCTCTGTGAGATGGGTACTCTTATTATCCTCATTTAGAAATAAGCAAATTAAGTGACTTACTCAAGGTCACAGAGCTCATTAAATGAGGAGCCAGGCAGCCTGACTCCAGTCTGTGCTTTTAACCACATGCTTTTTCTATACTTTTGTGTCTACTTTAGGAATAATCTTTAAATATTTAAAGTTTTGTAAAGAAATTAGGCTTATTAGGTTATCTCTCATAACTTTGTGATTAAAATTTTAAAACATATAACTGCATAACTGAACACCTAATTTTATGTTGAAAGATATGATATTTAGTCTGAGAGTACTGAAATATTTCAGAGAAATTGAAATTGTAGTTATACATTTCATTTATTAGACTTGCAAGAACTGTGTGATACTTAGGAAGGATTGCTGATTTGGTCAGGCACTGGCAGGAATTAGAAAACCAGAATATACTTATGTCATGTAGAATAATGGCTCCACCCAAAGATGCCCATGTTCTGATTTTTTTTTTTGGTACCAGGGATTTAACCCAGGTGTGCCTAACCACTTAGCCATATTTCCAGCCCCTTTTTATATTTTATTAGAGACAGGGTCTTGCTGAGTTCCTTTGGGCTTCACTAAGTTGGTGAGATTGGGTTTCAACTCGTGATCCTCCTGCCTCAGCTTCCTGAGCTTCTGGGATTACAGGTGTGCACCACTGAGCTTGGCTCATGTCCTGATTTTTTGGAACCTATGAATGTGTAACCTTACATGGAAAACAGGAAGTAAGGTTACAAATAGAATTAAGGTTGCTTATCACCTAATTTTTATATAGAGAAATTCGCCTAGATTATCCATTTGTATCCAAACAAAGTGAAAGAGGCACGAGAACCTGAGAGTTGTCAGAGAAAGGGCTTAGCCCAACAATGATGGCTTGGAGGAAGGAGGAAAGAATCTGTGAGCCAAGAATATAGGAGGGCTCTAGAAGTTGGAAAGGCAAAGAAACAGATTCTTTCTTAGAACCTGCAGAAGGAACATAGTTCTGCCAATACTCTGATTTTACTCCAGAGAAAGCCATTTTGGATTTCTGAATTACAGAACTTTAAGATAATAAATGTGTTGTTTTAAGCCACCAATCATGTAGTAATACCTTAACACAGATATGGAAAACTAACAGAATTGAGTGGTGTAAAATGTTTAAGAAAATTTAATCAACCAAATTGAGAGTATGACAGATTGTCTAAGGGAATTTATTTTCATTGAATTATGAAAGAAAATGGGAAGGGGACAATATATAAAATTCATATATTTAACTCTAAAGCTTTAAATATTTTAATAAAAACATTTAAACTGCTAATAGTGTTTATATATATGTATGTATATATATATACACACACATATATAAAGAGAGAGTTCTGTATGTGTATGTGTATGTGTGTGTGTGTATATATATATACACACACACACACATATACATATATAGATGACAGGGATGAAAATAAATTCCCTTAGACAGTCTGTCATTCTCAATTTGGTTGGTTAAATTATCTTAAACACACATACACACACACACACACACACACACATATATATATATATATATATATATATATATATATATATATATATATATGTTGTAGATGGGCACAGTACCTTTATTTTATTTATTTATGTGTTACTGAGGATCAAAACCAGTGCCTCACATATGCTAGGCAAGCACTCTACTACTGAGCTACAACCCCAGCCCCACTAATAGTGTATTTTATATTCAGACCATGCATAGTTTAAAAATTCACAACCTGATTATTTACTATTCATATTTTTGCTAGAATCACAATATCGAGTGGCCATTAAATTTTGCCATGTGATAGTGTGATATTTCGTTCCCAGGCAAGTTTGAGTCAGGTTCAACACCACTGACTGAGATCCAGGCTGCCACACAGTCCTTTCCCTGAAGAAGCTAACGGCCTCATGAATACATGAGAAAGGAGTTTCCCTAGAATGTGGTAAAGACACACCACATTCTACAAATAGAAGTATTTCTTGTTTTGCTTTGTTATGGTGGTGCTTGGAGATCAAACCTAGGGCTGTGTACATGCTAGCCAAGTGCTCTATCACTCAGATATATCCCTGCCAGCACCAATAGAAATATTTCTATTTAGCCTCAGTCATTTTTTGTATGAGTTATCCCTGATTAAACTACTGCCTTTCCCTTTTCTTTTTGGTTTATATGAGATTCCTTAGTTTCCCCCTTAATTTTGGAATTACATATACATAATGTTTTTTTTTTCCTCTGCAGCTTTCATTCCTTTTTGAGTGCTTACTATAAGAAGATAATTGAAACAATAGAGACAGTTAAGTACTCTTTATACTCTCCCCTTGAATTTGTTTAAAATGTAATGGTGACAACTAGTAGCATTTTCTCTTCATGCTCAGGAAGCCTAGAAGCAAGTTCTTCCAAAAGCTGTGCCCTATGGAGGTCTGATGTGATTTTCTGAGAAAATTCTTTAGCACAACTTAGCAAAAGAGCTCCTGGGTTCCTTTATTGACAGAGTTTTTTTTTTTTTTTTTGGTATGTGGCAAGACATTGGGGGTGGGATGTTCATAGGCCCAGGTGTTGTGCAATGTTAGATAACAGGCCTTATTGTCTGTCCTGTGATATTTTAAAAAAAAAAAAAAAAGTGGCAATCTGATTGTTGTCTTATATACTACCTTTGGTGGTAGAATTCAGAAACAGTATGGGTTGCCTTGTATGTGTGTGAAATGTGAATCTGTTCTCATTTTTCTTGTTAATAGGTGAGGAAGATGCATTGTCACACTTAACCAAGTACCATTCTGCTTTTGATGAAGCAGATGGGATAGGGTGGACTCTCTTGCATAAGGCTGCAGTACAATTAAATAAGAACATTTTAGAAATAACCCTGAAAGGTAAACTCCCTTTTATTCTTCCTGATGCTTCTGAGAAATAAACTTAAAATTGGTTTTTGAATCTTAACCTATATGATATATGATGAATTTATTTCAGCTTCAAAAACCAGTGTATGGGAGCAAACCACCCATAATGGTGAAACACCACTTTTTCTGGCTGTCAGCAATTGCCTCTTAGAAAATGCCAGTTTTCTTCTTCTCAATGGCTGCAATCCAAATGCTAAGAATTTCGAAGGCAATTCTCCTCTTCTTACAGGTAAATGACTCATCTCTGGAGAAGAGTATGCTGCTCTGTCTCCCCTATGCCAACAAGTTTCAAAGACAGCTCTTTGTGCACAGATGCAATACTGTGATCCCAGCTGACCAGACCCTCAAGAAGCTTTCTATAGATTGGCTAATGAGGTGGCCTGATGCCCAGTTAGGAGCACATATACATTTTGATCCCAGCTGACCAGACCCTCAAGAAGCTTTCTATAGATTGGCTAATGAGGTGGCCTGATGCCCAGTTAGGAGAACATGCACATACAGAAAGGAACAGAGTCATGAAGCATAGGTGAAGGGCAGGCAGCTGAAATGGGAGGCTAGGCTAAAAACTATTAATCAGGAAGTCAGATATCTAGATTGCTTCTTCCACTCTGCCTGCTGAGACAGACTCCTCCCCAGCCCAGTAGAGTTCTGGAGGTTTATTCTTGAACAGCTTAAACAGAGGGTCTCTAGACCAGAGAATTTGGGTGAGCGTGGGAGTACTTAATTGAAAACACTGGAGGAATTAAGCAAAAAGACCCAACTCTCTTCCACAAGAAGGCATTCTCCCACAAGGATCCTAGAAAGCTGGCAGACAAGCCTTTATACTCTCCAGAAAGAGGATTCTCTGGAGAATCTGATCAGCCCAGGAAGATCTAAAGATAGTAACACTGGGGGCTCCCCCAACAAATGGCCCAAACATACCAACCAGTAGTGAAGCCCATAGTCTGCAAGCCCCACCCACCGTTTAGAATTTTCAACCAGAATAGTTGTCCAGGCTCTTACTCATGAGCAGATAACCAGACTATTTGAAGAAAGTCTTCAACATAGATAAATGACTTGGAAGAAGCAGATTATTTAGGAGAAATAAAATGTAAAGCAAATTATCATTAATTTCTTCAAAGAAATTAAAGAAATAAGAATAGGATAGTACAGGGCTGGGGTCGTGGCTCAGTGGTAGAGTGCTTGCCTAGCATGTGTGAAGCACTGGGTTCAATTCTCAGTACCACATATCAATAAATAAAATAAAGGTCCATCAACAACTTAAAACAAAACAATATTTTAAAAAAGTAGGATACTACAAAAACTCCAAGAATAAAACAAAAATGCTCTTGATATTAAAAACATCAAAACAAATTTTTAAAAAAAATAATGCTAGAAAATGAAGTTTAGGAAAGCTTTCAGAAGATAAGAAATGTAAAATAGTAAAGGAGAAATAAGAAAATTAGAAGGACGACCCAAGAGGAGCAATGTATGAATAACAGGAATGACAGATCAAATAAACAAGATGGAGGTACTCTATCATCAATAAAATAAGTCAAAATAATAATTTCCTAAAATAAGGGACATGTTGTTTCCAAAGTGAAAAAGCCAGCTGATGAATTCAAACAGACCCAACACAATCAGCACTTTTCTTCAGTATTAGAGCAATTAGAGCATTTTCATAGCACCTTATAAATAATTATTAACAGAATTCATACTGACTCAGTATCAGGCATCTAGTAAAATTCCATGAACATTTTGTGCTAAGAATTGGTGAGCTGGGCATGGTAGCACACACCTGTAATCCCAACAGTTCAGGAGGCTTAGACAGGAGGATTACTAGTTCAAAGCCAGCCTCAGCAAAAGTGAGGCACTAAACAACTCGGTAAGATCCTGTCTCTAAATAAAATACAAAATAGGGGTGAGGGGGCAAGGGAGGAATTGGTGAATGAATAATGAGATGGGTAAGTTCAGGTGTTTTAGCATCTTGAGGAACCAAGAGTCATCATGCAAATGTGCAAGAACAGCATAAATGAAGAAGATGGTTATTAGAGAATTGTGGTTGACAAAATTGATCAAAAATAACTACCAAAAATTTATTATATGCATAATTAAACAATACAAGAAAAGATATGAAAATATTAACAAAGATTTTACCAAAGAGATGTGATTATGAGTCTTTCTTCTTTCTTTTCTGCATATCTAAATTCCCTGAACATGAACCTTTTTATTAAAAAAAAAAGAAAGAAAGAAAAACATTTTTAAAAAGACCCACACCTGAGACAAAGAGAAGCTTCCAAAAGTTTCCTGAGAGAGAAAAAACTGGAAATATATCATATACAAAAGATAAAAGATCAAAATAGTTTTAGAGTTCTCAACAATAACTAGATGCTTGATGAAATTGATGAATAGTTTCAGAAGTTCTGAGGGAAAATTATTTTCAACTTAAATATTTAATTAAACTATTAAATCTGAAGGTAAAAACAAGATACATATTTTCAGACATCGAAGAACTCAAACTTTTCTCCCTCTTACACCATTAATGTGTTAATGATGTAGGATAGGTGAGGCTGGACTTAAGGAATTTTCAGGAAGCAGTTTGATTTTAGCTGTAGCAGTCCAGACAGGGCCCATGCCTAAAATTCTCTGGACCAAGAGTTTGGAAATTCTTTTAGATTTATACTCAGTGGGAAGATTACATGATAGTGGGTGGGGACATACTCTTTGTCCCATATTCTTAGGCCAGACAGAAGTTTTACAAATTTGTTTTTTTTTTTCTGCAGACATGGCAGAAAGAGGAAGCTACAAACCACAATGCCCTCTGCAGAAATTTTTGCTGATATCCTGTTGACATCCTTTGTAAAAATCTTTCTGACAAGAGAAATATATTACAAATATTACAAATATATACATATATTACAAATATGATGGGGGTCTCTGGTCTGCTTCATTAATGAAATAAATATCCTACCAACATGGACGTGAACTTGAAATGTCAAAGCTAGGGATCCAAGAAATACAAGGTCCATCCCAGATAGTAGGCAAATGAGATCCCCAAGATGATGGGGAACAGTACTCCTAGGATGGCAACATGTTCCAGGCACTGAATTCCAGGTTAGAACAGGTCAGAGGGGCTAGATAAGGTAACACACACCTGTAATTGCAGGTGTGTAATCACAGGTTAAGGCAGGAGGATTGCAGGTTCTAGACCAGTCTTAGCAATTTAGCAAGAGTGTTGGGGATTTAGTTTAATGTATATATAAAAGAATAGGTTGAAAGATTGCAGGTGACCATGATGGAATTGGAATAAATATCTTGAGATTTAAGACAGTTTAGAGAGTCTCAGGTTGAATTAGTGATAAGCAAATTGAAAACTAAGCAAAGGCTGGGGGCAGAGTTCAGTGTAAAGCACTTGCCTTGGCATGCAAACTGACTAGTGTTTAATCCCTAGCACCACACAAACAAACAAATTAGGTAAATGGAATGTAAATGTAAGGCTAGTATTAACTACAAGGAAAACAAAAGATGTACAGGAAAGGAAACATAATTAAGACCCAGCTTTTTAAATAGCAAATAAAATAAAAATAAGGTAAATACTGAATAGTTAACAAAAATTATATCATAAAAAGTACTAGAAGAATGGTGAGCTGAGAAATGTGAATGGTGAGCATAAGAGAAAAAAATCTTCATTTTCCATGAAAAGTCAAGTTAAATCAAAACCAAAAAAAATTAAAAAGTGTTTTTATCTCCTGTTTCTCTTATTTAATTTTTACTTTTAAGTATTCCTTGACTAATTCTTTCAAAATTATTTTGTAGGTAATCAATTTTTTGAGTTCTTAAATAAAAATCTAAACATAAAAAAATTAAAAAGTGGCAATGTAAGCAGGGCTATTTAGAAATATAATAGTTAATAGCAAAGAATCAGCTAAAAGGTGCTCTAGTGAAGGAAAAAGAGAGTTGAGAAAGGGTGGAGAACCCTGTAGTAATTGGCTCTTTAAGCCTTGCATAGTGTATAACTTTCATGAAAAAAGCAAAAAATTAAAGAGAGAACATTTACAGGGTACTACTGAAAACTGGGATTTGGAGGGCTCATCTTGATTTGTCCCAGGGTGCTTTTAGGCTTTGCATTCATAGGGGAGAAAAATCATCAAAACACTGAATAGAAGAGCATTCTCTGAGAAAGCCCTATATAGCATAAGAATGAAAACTCTGGATTAGGTCTAACCTCTCTAAACCTCAGTTTTCTCACCTATAAGATAGAGATAATAATATTCATCTTGTGTGTGTACAAGTCATATGTAAGAAAGCATTAAGCTGTGAAGCCTGTCAGAGTGATATGATGGTAGGAACTGGTTTTCCTCTCTTGACCTCGGCCTATCTGGCATGCCAAATAATTCCTTTTCTGTCGTATCTAAACATTTATTTCCCTATTCATAGATATGGAAGATGCTGGGTTTCAGGGAAACAAGCTCATCAAGATCTCAGAGACTTCAATTCACCAATGTGTAAAGTGAACTTTTTTTTTTTTTTTTTTAGTTTTAAGTGGACACAATATATTTATTTTACATTTATGTGGTGCTGAGGATCGAACTCAGTGCCTCGTGCATGCTAGGCAAGCACTCTACCACTAAGCCACAACCCAGCCCAAAAGTGAACCTTTTATTTATTTATTATGTGGTGCTGAGGATCAAACCCAGTGCTAGCAAATGCTCTACCACTGAACTGGACCTTAATTATGTGATAATAGTATACATAGGATTTCCAGGCCTTTGGAGATGGGTGTGTATGTTTGTTGCTTTCAGAATCATTTCTTCACAAAGAACCTCAAGGGACTTTCTGTACAACACTTTGGGAAATACAAGCCCAAACCATCATATCCTATGGGTTCAGCCACTCATCCAACATACAAATAAAATTACATTTTAGTCATTTGTTTGCTGAGATAGGGTTCTGTTGCTTTTTTTTCTTCTTTTAAAGCAGCTTACAAGCATTTCCAGGTCTGTACTGAATATGTAAGTTCCCATTTTCTCAAGAAAATAAAGATACATGAAAATTTTATATGTATGAGCCAGCTAAGCAGCCAAAAGACAATGAATTGGTTATGGCTTATAGAAAAACAAATAGCCCATTGATATATTATTTGACATACAGTCTATTTTATGGGTTCCCTAAATTCATAATGCAGAGGCAAGGGAGTAAGTGGGAAGAGCTCCTGAAGAAGGCTGAGGGACACTAGCTGATATGACACTCTGGCCTTACCCGCATCAAGCATAATGCCCACCTCGCTTCTGATTTCTTAGCTGTTCTACGTGACTCCTATGACATGGCTACCTTGCTGATCAGCCACGGAGCGGATGTAAATCTACGATGTGCCAATGACAGGACTGCTCTCCACGAGGCAGCCAAACTGGGCAGACAGGACATGGTGAAGCTTATGCTGGTTTCTGGGGCACACCCTGACCCCCGGAGCACCTATGGATTCACTCCACTTGCTCTTGCTGCCCAAAGTGGACACACTGAAATTATGGCATTATTACTGCAGAAAGGCAAGATTTTCTATATAGTCAGCATACTACCATAGAGTAACTTGATCCCAGTGTTCTCTTCTTGATGGAGAGCTTCAGAATAATAGAAGTTAATATCTTATTTAAAACCAATTTAAATGTTTGAAATTTGTGTACTAATATTGGATACTAGAAAGCCTAAAATAATCAGACTGGTTTTCTTATTTGATGATGTGATATAATTTCCTTAAAATTATTGCAATGCAGGGTGACCCTTATACTTAATGATCCTTTAGTATTCTTAGAGGATAGTTGTTTTTTTAAAACATTTTTGTGTTGATGTCCTTTCCTAGAATCAAAATCAAAGTCCTTGCAACATTCTGTACATACTGTTGCTACTTATGCTAAGTCATGAGGCAGTTTAATCTGTCGCAGAATATCTTTGAATGTTAGGAAATTCTTCCTCATTTCTTCTCTTCGTATCCCTGTTCTCTGTTCTACTAATAGTCAAAACTCTAAGAGAAGGAGAAGATGATTTATATTTATCTTTTAAAACATATTTTTAAAATTTTTTTTTAATATTTATTTTTTAGTTGTACACAATACCTTTTTTTTTTTAAATGAGGTGCTGAGGATTGAACCCAGTGCCTCACACATGCTAGGTAAGCATTCTACCACTGAAGCTACAACTCCAGCCACTGATGTATATTTATTAAATACTTTCTACATAACAGGCATTAAGCTGTTGCCTCATGTAATCCTTTAAAAAGTCTGTGAGACAGATATTAATCTCATTTTGCTCTTGAGAAAAGAAGTTCAGAGATGGTACCAGTTATAGACTTCTCTTCAAACACACTTCCTCCCTGCCCTCCGCATTGTAACTGTGGTCATTTTAGATAACTGGCAGGGACTCTCAAAGAACTTTGGCATTTACCAGGTGTAGTGGCATATACCCGTAGTCACAGTGACTTGGGAGGCTAAGTCAGGAGAATCAAAAGTTTGAGGCCAGCAAATTTAGTAAGTCCCTAAGCAACTTAGCAAGACTCTTGTCTCAAAACAAAAAAATGAAAAAGGGCTGGGGATGTAGCTCAGTGGTAAAGCGCTCTTGGGTTCAATCTCCGATACCAAAATACACACACACACACACACACAGAGCAACAAATTTTCAATCCTTTACCTTTCAAAGAAACCAGGATCATGTGACTGGTGAGTTCAGTGATTAAGCATTTCCCTTAACCGCCTTACAAAGTAATTTACACATCGTAACTGTTTTAGTCAGCTTTCTTGTCCCTGTGACCAAAAGACCTGACAAGAACAACATACAGAAGGGAAAGTTTATTTGGGGCATGTGGTTTTAGAAGTCTCAGTCCACAGAGGGCTGACTGATTGCATAACTCTGGGCACAAGGTGAGGCAGAACATTATTGTGGAAGAGTGTGGTCATGGAAAGAAGTCAAGACATGGCAGTCAGGAAGAGGGAGAATAAAATATACTCCAAAGGCATGCTCCCAGTGACCCACCTCCACCAGCCACACCCTACCTACTTAGTTACTTCCTAGTTAATCCATATTACTGGATTAATCCATTGATTGGGTTAGGCTCTTATAATCCAGTCATTTCACCTTTAAAATACATGCATTGCTTAACACATGAGCTTTTGGGGAACATATCTAAACCATAACAGTGACATAAATAGTAAATGGCAGAGCCAGCATTTGAAGTCATATCTGCCTGATCCCGCATTGTTAGAGACAAGATGGTATCATAGAAATAAGGCCTTAGTCTGGAAAATCTATGTATGAATCCTAACCATCTTGCTTATTACTAGCTGTGTGTCTTTGGGCAAGTCATTTGAAACCAGTAAGCCCTTGTTTCTTCTTCTTTTTTTAAAATATTTTTAAAATGTTGATGGAACTTTATTTTATTTATTTATTTATATGCGGTACTGAGAATTGAACCCATGGCCTCACACATGCTAGGCAAGTACTCTACCACTAAGCCACAATTCCAGACCTAGTTTCTTCATCTTTAAAATGGAGATCTTAGCACCTACTTCTGGGGTTTGCTGTGAAATTTAGAAATGATTATGCACATAGTAAACAATAAATGAAGGTATATTAGATTTCTAAATACATTCTAGGAGTGGGGTTCTTGGGCAGCCACTATACCCTGATGATTTTTATCTATCTATTCAAAAGTAAAGCCACTATATCTTTTTTATGATTTATGATGTGTCCAGAATGCTCTCCTTAGCTTTTGTCCATCCAAATGCTACTCTTTCTTCAGAGCCCATTTTATTGAGAAAACTTCCAGAACTGACCCAAACTCCTTTCTTTTATCTGTAAGCTCCCCTTACAGCCCCAGCCCTAGATCTTCTAGAAGGCACTTTTGCCTCTACCTGTATTCTTATCCACACCACTCACATGATACTTGGCATAGGTACTACAATTTATCTTTATAGCTATCAGCAATCCTCAATTTCAGTTTAAAACAATTAGTGTCTCTTATTACGAACAGTCCTTTATGAAGAAGTTTTAAAAAATGCCCCTTTCCATCAAAACATCATTAAATGTTATGGTGATATAATTCAGTTAGTTATTACCATCCTATCTGTAAGCATATTGTGAGGTAACTGGGCTTTGTATACTGGTTTAGAAATCCACCTTTTATGAAAGTATGTCTACTGGAAATTTTTAGTTCCAAACAACTTATAAAAATTGCTCTGAAAGCCAGCTTACCTATAATTTACAAACTGTTTGTATCATGTCCCTCCCCTCCACATTAGTTTATAAATTGCTTGAGAAAAGAGCTACCTATTTTATTTGATTCTTAGTTCTTCACTAAAGTAGGTATGCATTTTTTGATTTTAAGATTGCTTATATACAATGGAAAACAATTTTTGCAAGATGACTTTTTCCTCTTAGGTGCTAATGCTCATGGTCAGGCCTCTGATTCATCTTCCATATTACTTGAAGCTGCTAGAGGAGGAAATCCAGACTCTGTGACTCTCTTGCTAGAGTATGGAGCTGATGCCAATATACCTAAGAATTCAGGCCACCTGCCCATTCATGTGGCAGCTGACAGAGGACACTTATTGTAAGTTAAATTATATTACTGTAAATAATAGAAATAGTAATAACTGACTTTTTTATAAGCAACTTCTAGGAACTTTATATTTTTTCTCTGATCCAACAACCTAAACCTTAAAAAAAGAAAAAAGAAAAATCTCTGGACCTGCTAGAAACTGGTAAGGCCGAGCATCTTCTGTAGCTGCTGAAGACACAGAACTGCCTTCAATATGGGAAACTTTGGGTCTCAAATGACTGGGCTAATACTGAGTTTTAAACCTAGACAATAGTTCCATTCAGTTTTACTTGCTATCTAAGCTGCCAGATGAAGGAATTAGTTTTTTTGTTGGAGGGTTCTAATTGCCACCTGATACTAATACTATATATACCATTAATATAAAAGAATCATAAACAGGCTAACTCTGTATCTTGATGAAACCATTTTGAAATGTACTTTGGAATTCTTTCTTAGAGTTCTAAAGATATTGATTCCAGTTACGGACCTTGCTGCCATTAAGCGGAGTGGGATCAGTCCAGTTCATTGTGCAGCAGCAGGAGCACACCCTCAATGCCTGGAACTTCTCATCCAGGCTGGATTTGATGTGAATTTCATGCTAGATCAGAAAATTCGTAAACATTATGATGACCAAAGGAAATCAGCTTTGTATTTTGCTGTATCAAATGGTGACCTCTCTTCAGTTAAGCTGCTTCTGGGCGCTGGAGCTCTGCCTAATCAAGACCCAGTTAACTGCCTGCAGATAGCCCTTAGGATGGGTAACTATGAGCTCATAAGTCTACTGCTAAGACATGGTGCCAACGTCAATTACTTCTGCAGAGTCAACCCTTTGCATTTCCCATCAGCACTGCAATACACACTAAAAGATGAAGTCATGCTCAGGATGCTGTTGAATTATGGGTATGACACAGAGCGATGTTTTGATTGTCCTCATGGGGATAAAATTCATCCTTTCTATACTTTTGAAGGCTGGACATCTACAGTTATTAAAGATACTATGGTAAGTCCACAGGATTAGTTGTATTACCTTAAGACATTCATTATCCATAGTCTGGGAACTATAGTAATACTCAGTCCACTCTCTAGAAGACTCTAGAGTGAAAAATACATGATAAAATATCATGTAGATATCTATCAGTAGAAAGATATAAAAGGTACAGAATCAACTCAGAGAAAAAAGGGACTTTACCTAGAACTGTCAGGGAGTTTCACAAATGAACTGACTCCTGAGCAAGGTTTAAAAAATGAATGCAAACTGCAGGGCTGGGGTTGTGGTTCAGTGGTAGAACACTTGCCTAGCATGTGTGAGACACTGGGTTCAACTCTCAACACTGCATATAAATAAAGGTCCATCAACAACTAAAAACCTTTTTAAAAAATGAATCCAGCCTTATATTTCAGTTACATTTTCTCTTTAGCTAAAATGTTGCTGGATTCCAAATACCTATACCCTTAGGTTTTTGGCTCTTTGAGCATTTGATTAGTCTTATTTGGTTAGTTTTATGATGAAAAAAGTTACAGTAAACAGTTGACCCCTCCTGATTAGAGAGATTTTTCTCACACCAGACCCCTAGTTTTTTCTTACCTAATTGGTCACTTCTGTTTTCCCCAACTTGAGTTTTTCCCCTAGCTTTTCAAATGGTTGCTACTTTTCAGGTCTCATTTCAAGTGTCATCTCTCCAAAAACGCCCATCTTAGGTAGTCCCCTTCCCCATCATTCTCTTATCATGATCATTTCTTTGTAGAATTTGACTTTCTGAATATTATTTTAGTATTTTAATGACTGTACCTCTTATAAATATCCTCAGTTTACACATGTCTGTGCTTAGCACATAGTAAATGCTCTATAAATATTTGAATTCATATTACCAAAATTTAAAAAATAGAAATGAAACAGTAAATTGAAAAAGCTCCTTGAATCAATTCTGAAAAGTTACAGGCAAAATATTCTTGTATTTATTATTTTTAGGTGATTAATATAGGACTTAATTTCTACACCATTAATTCAGCATTAGGGGATATACCATCTGGTATTATTTCCTGACTGTTCAGGAACAGTCTCATTTCTCATCTGGACATCTTATTTAAGAGCATGTTAATGATTTAAAGGCCAAAACTGTTACTTTCCTTTTATATCAGGGTTGGACTAAGATTTTTGAATGACAGAAAAATCCAAAAATAAAAGCTTTAACAAAATGTCAGCCAGGCATAGTGGATCACATGCAGTCCCAGCTACTTGGGAGGCTGGAAAGAGAGAGCAAGATAGTGAGACTCATCTCAAACCAAACCAAATGGCTCATTCCCTCTCATATAAAGGACAGAAGTAAATAGCCTTGTAAATGGACAGTGTCATGATTCATAAAAGCAGCTTGTATCCATATTACAGTCTGCAAGAAGAAAGGGAAAAGGAAGCATCACAGACCTTGCCTTTCTTGCATGGTATTTGGGGAGCTGCTGAGGCTTCCACTTACCTCTCATTGGTTAAAGGTTAGCCAAGTGGCCACACCTAGCTGCAAGTGAAGCTAAAAAGTTAATCTTTATTGTAGACAGCCAGGTGACCAACCAAGGGAGTTAACAGATATTATGTAACAATCTCTGCCACACCTTTATTACTTCTTATATGAAGAATCAGTAAATATATTTTTCCCAAATGTTAGGACTAAGAAATCAAATGAGGAACTGAATACTTTCAGCTTAGTATTCTTTTGATTACTGTGCTAAACCATAGATACTCTTAATTTAATTTTCTGACTTTCCCCCTTTAGTTCTGTGAAGTAATAACTTTATCATGGCTGCAGCATCTCTCTGGAAAGGTTGTTCGAGTGATGCTTGATTATGTTGATCAAGTTCAAATCTGCTCAAAGTTGAAAGCTGTGCTCCAAAAACAGGGGCTCTGGTCAGAAATACATTTTATCTTGAGTGAGTATCTGTCTTATAGAAAACTTTTACCAAAACACTAATCATATTATTTGTTCTATAGAATATTCTTTGTGTTAAAAGCATAACCTAAAGCAACCAAAAAAATACTATTCCTTCGTAAAACTACAGTGTAGTCATTAAGTTGTACTTACTACAATTTTCCAGCAGACAAAATCTGTTAGGTAATTACTTATAATTATATGTGGGTAACACTTTTTTCCCAACCCAATTACCCCATGACTAGGAAGGAACATTATAGACAGGAATTAAAAGGTATGACATGGCAATAAAAAACAGATAAGAAAAGATCTAAATTTGTAGGGGATACCAAATGACCCTCTCCAAACCAAATTTTTTCAAAGTTGCACCTAAGTCAATTAAAAATTTATTTTATCCCATTTCCCCCGGGTGGTGATCTTTAGTTTTGCCCTGTCCCTGATAGAAAGAATTGGCAGGGGGTGGGGAGTGGGGTTAATAGAGATTTAAGTACTTAGGGTCTCACAAGCCAGATGCACAACTGATTTGTCTTTGGATTCCAACTTGATATGCATCTAAAGTCATATTTTTGCAAAGCGTTGCAAGAGAACTGAAAAACTTTCCCTATTGATATTCCCATTTAATCACAGCCAATGCAAATCCTGGTGGTTTAAGTATCAAATACATTTGCTAACTAAACCCTAAGATCATTTTTAAAAAAAAAAAAAGCAATTCTTTAATTCTTTCTCCTTTTAGATAATATCCTATTTCTTTCATTTTAGCAAACCCTCGTTCCCTAAAACATTTGTGCCGCCTAAAGATCCGCAAGTGTATGGGGCGTTTGCATTTACGCTGCCCTGTCTTCATGTCATTTCTTCCATTGCCCAATCGTCTAAAAGCATACATCCTTTACAAAGAATATGACCTTTACGGACAAGGAGTTTTTACAGAAACCTGGTAATCATATTATTCTACAGGAAAAGGTATAATTTTGCAGCTTATTTTTTTCAAATGGGATTTGTCTTCTATGATTCATATTTTTTGCTTTACCCAGTAACTAAAATCAGTCTACGTTCTTTAAGTAGTTTCTCTGAATATGGCCTTTCAACATATAAATGGCTATAAGTCCAAAGTTAGTTTTAAGAAAAGCAAAACCCAACTAGTGAATATTTTAATTAACTAAATACACCAGTTTTTTGTTTTTGTGGTTCTGGGGATTGAACCAGGGCCTGGATCATGCTAGTCAAGCACTCTACCATTGGACCATAATGCCAGCCCTATATACCAGTTCTAATTCTGTAGTGATCTTACATTAAGTGTATAAATGTGCTCAAAATAATGGATGCCATCTCTGACAATTGGAGATTCTTTTTTAAATAGAGAAGTATTAGTGATTGTATTGAATATATACTGACTCCATTACATGCCCTGGAAGTAAACTATTTGTGTGCAGAAATCACAGTTTTTTTTTTTTTGGTTCTCAAGATTGAACCCAGGGGGCTCTACCATTAGGATATATCCCTAGCCTTTTTCACTTTTTATTGAGACAAGGTCTTGCTAAATTGCTAAGGCCAGGCTTGCACTTGTAATCCTCCTGCCTCAAGTAGCTGAGATTGCAGGCATGCACCACGAGGCCTGGCATTGTTTCTTTGTAGTCAAGTACAGGGATGGAGTAATTCAGTTAATTCAAATAGATCGTTCAATTAAAACTTCATCATTAATAGGAAACACATATTCCCTCCTGCCTTCTTTCCAAATATTTTTGGTTATGGTTTACCACTTATTGGTTAATATAATTAATTCAATGGGAATTAAAAAGGGTTTTCAAATGGATAGGCTTATGGTTTCTATACTGAACCTAGTCGGCTAGTGGACATGGAGGGTTTCAATGATTACAGAAGATGTCAGATTAAATTATTTCTTTATATTCTCTACTGCATGTGAATATAGAATATTAAGTTCAATTTTTTATTTCTATGCATTCTAAGTTGCATCTAAGTTCAAGTTTCTGTATGTGGATAGTACAGAAAGAAATTGAGAAATATTCATTCAGTCACATCTATGTCAAGTTGAGAGAGCACATCAAAAGGACAACAGAGAATGATGTAGTTCATTTTCTCCACAGTTCCATTAACTATACAGCTTTGATTTTTACATATTTAGTTTTAACATTTTTTAGCATAATATAGTCCATTTTACTGCAACTAAAACTGTATGATTTCTGATGCAATAATTGATTCATGGTTATAAAGACTACTTCAGTAAGCAGAAGACTTAGAATTATATTTAGCTTTTTACATTTAAAATGTGCAAAACTGGCTAACACGAAGTTTTGTTTGTTTTTTTTTTTTAATCTCATGTGCTTATAACGAAGTGGTAGTTTATATATATGTATATGTGTCAATATACAAAAATACATTTAGGATATACATGTACTTAGATAAATTACATAATTCTAAAATTAATTTCATCTAATCCCTTGACTTTCTGAAAGTATATACATTTTTATAAAATTCAAAAACAAATTAGAACATAAAATTCCCAGTAGAACTTAAGTTATATACTAAACTACAAAGAGTTACACAGCATGACTATATATTACTATTAAAACTACAGGTCAAGCTACTTAAAGTTAGAACACACAATTATTTGTCCCTTTAAATTAGAGGAATTTCTTTAAGTAGAATCCAACAGTTGTAAGTATACATTGCCTGTAACATATCTAGGGTAATTATCAAGAAAAGTCACTAATAATGAATTATAATTTGCTTTTACAACAAACTTCCCAATAAGTGACAACACCAATCAAAATTACTTGGAGAAATAAAATTCAGAAAATATATCAAATATTTTATACAAAAAAAGACTGTACAAAAATCAGACTTTATTATACATTAAAAAATCTAACAACATATTTCCTGAAGCCTTGTCAGCAAATGCCTATTTTGACAAAATGAAAAAATAAGTTCTCTGTCCTACATGTATACCATGGTCACATAAAGGTGAGTTCCTCAAATCCAATTCTAAAGGGAAATGTTAACATGACTTAATGGTACACTGCATGATTTAACTATCAGTGAGATAACCAATTCACTTACATTACAAAAATCACTGAATATACAAAGCAATTTCACACATTAGTTATAATTTAATCCCCAGTTCTTCTATTAATTTAAAGTAAATTACTTATGAGTACAGCCACAAGAGATTGGTTAAAAAAGTATAAAGTGGTTCCAGTTTCAAATCTTTGTATTATTAATTAATGTAGAACAGAAACTTCATGAAAAAGGAGTAAATGCTAAAAATAAAATAAAGAGTTTAATTGTTACAATTGGTATATTTAAATATTCAAAGTACAATTCAAATGAAAGGAGGTTGTCAAAATCAACATTAATATTTTCATTTTATTCAGGTTGCAAAAGGTTTTGCTAAATATGCTAGATTCTTAGTCTGTTAACATTTGTAAGATGCAAATTTTAAACACTGTGGTTCCTATATATAACTCAGAATTAACTCAGATGCTTTTATCACAACATTTTATGTTACCTAGGAAATTACACACATCCTATTGTCCTTTTCCCAAAAGTAATGGAAACAACAAATTTAGTTTGTGGATCCTGTGAATTCTTTCAAAATTGCACACAAAGTAATCCTTATAGACATGACAAGAACTAGATTAGATTAGCTTTAGGGACTTTGTTCAAGGTACCAGTTTCAGTACCTAATTAGCAAATTTTCAAAATTCTAAAAGGATGCACTAATAATTGATTTTTTTAATCTATTAATTTCATTACCATAGTTACAACAGCACTGTTCACATAGGAAGCAGAACATATAGCAGAATTAGGCAGGCTTAATTTCTTTCCTTAAAAAAATATGTGGTTAATTTTTAAAAATCATTAAATATAAATTTATGCCAGAGAAGAGATATCCCCAAATCTAATCCAACTGCCAGTGAAGCATCTCAGAGTTTTTGAAGGGGTTTCAGAGGAGATCAGCTGGAACATTAATATGAAGCCTATGGGCAGCATTCTTTAAATAAAAAGGAGAGCTTATTAAACTTGATGCTTACAGGTCTGCAATAATAGAATAGTTCCTATAGTTTAGTAGTAATGGAAGAGAATTTTCATCTAAATTGCTAAATGTACTCATGATTTCTATTTGGCACTGGAATGCATCTGTCCTATGGACGTGGACATTTTTAAAATTTCTTTTAGTTATATATGACAGTTATTGTGGTAATTCTTATGAACATGACTTAAAGGGAACTACACACACACACACACACACACACACATACACACACACAAAGGAACTATAAGTCTGTCCAGCATCCCTACGTCTACCAATACCCTTAACCTCAGTCTACATTTTGACCCAGAGGGCTAACAATGGGTAGCACTTTGCTACCATGCAAAGGACCAACCAGGTAAAACTGCCTTCTAATGATGACCAACTTCCTTGTGAGGCAACAGATTTCATGTGAACTTAGCGAGGTGCTATATAAAGAAAAGACAATGAAACTGAAAGTTAACCAATCTCAAAAAAGGTCTTAAAAGCAGGAATTTCCATGACCAATCAAGTACTGATCACAAATTTCAACTTTAACAAAAGGAATGATACAATATTTTAAAAGCATTCCCTTTAGTAGGCACAAAATAAACTTAATCAAAAAGTATTCCATAAATGTCTACTTTTTTACTATGTTTTAGTATCATAAGGCTTTAAGGAGTATTAAATAATCATTACTCCCAGTTGGCACATGGATAAAAATATCATGAAGCTATGTATAATTATCCCATTCCTACAGAAAACAATGTACATATACAGTATGAAATTGAGCTATATTTTGAGAGCTTTTAACAGATGCCATTTCTAATTCAGACCTAAAAAAAGAAAAAAACTACATATCAAAGGACAAAAGGATTTTTTCCCTTGTGAAATTAGTATTAGTGGCTAACCTACTGAAAAATTCTAAATGTTTAACTATGTAAGATATTTTACTCAATATATTTAACTTATATGTATATATGTATATATACTTTTTCATGTGGAACACATGAACATAACTTCTATAAGCCATGTTTAAATCTGAGCAAAGTAAAAGAAATTAATTTCTGACAGAAGATAAGCAGTAGAGAAATGTTATTTTAAACCTGTAGCAGGCTAAAATCCTTCCTTGGTCAACTTCCCCTACTAGCTATACCAATCATTCAATTTCTTTTCAGTCTTTCATGGAATCATACCTTTTACTCATTTGAAAAGTATTTACAATAGTTAGTGCAAACTATTCTATGCTCATAAATTAGTTATTTGCCTTTGTGGATATAAAGTGATGATTCAGTACTTTATCAAAATATGGGATTATGAAAATACTGGGCATATCAGTCTGAAATTTAAAAGATTACATTTTCTAAACTAAACTCTGGGAATTTTTACTTTTAAGCAGTAAACATAATTGGTATATAACTTCTTTTGAAATGTCATTTGAAAATGTCATTTGATTATCAGTAAAAATCATTTTACTTAATGCTGAAAATACAATGTATCATCTTCTAACAATATCTTTACAAGCCAGTCCTAATCTAAAATGTATTTGAACAAAACAGAAATATTTTAATGAATTTCAAAATCTTATTTTAATCATTACTGCTCTGCAGTAATAATTGAAGTCCCAACCTGAGAACTGAGAATATGATAATAAAATGCCAAGGGCTGTATCAATTTTGAACCAAAGATACAAGCTTTTTTCACTACTGGCAACAGGTATAGTACATCAGAGAAATGTGAGCAATAAAAGAAAGTGTCCTGCAATCAACAGTGCCACCTGCCACAAGTTGGAAACCTTAAGTCTAAAATCTCTACGATTTTATACAAATTCTATTGCACAGTAAATAATGTTAAAATATTTGCAAATTTGTAGAATTCTCTGTAGAAAGGGTCACTTAGTTGAACACTTCTTCACTGCCAGCAAAATGTTCCCAATAAAAGGGAGCGAGTATATCCATGAATATATGAATACCTAAGAATAAATTATTTCTGATGGGCATAGGTAGTTACAACACAAGATTAAAAGTTCAAAATTTGAAGGAAAAAAATGCTTAAGTATAATTCCTCAGCAACCTGTTTTAGGGAAATAAGTTTTGTTTAGACAAGTACAATGTTTTTTAAATATATTTTTTAGTTATAAATGGACATAATGTCTTTATTTTGTTTATTTATTTTTATGTGGTGCTGAGGATCGAACCCAGTGCCTCACATGTTCAAGGCAAGTGCTCTGCCACTGAGTCACAACCCAGCCCTAGACAAGAGGAATTTAATGTTAATGCATACATTATTATTTTTAAGGGAAAATAAAAAACAATGTAAAACTAAATCATCAAGTTCAACATTTTTTTATGTGAAGCTAAAAACAAGCAAATATAAAGTGTAGTCTCCTCCTTGATATTTCAACATAGTTGTTACCTTGTGCCATTTCACCATAGAAATTGTCAATTCCGGAGGGGGGGGGTGTCAATCAAAAAGCAATGTAAGTTTATGCTTCTGACTCTCTCTTCTTTCCTTCTTCTCCCAAATCACTCTCTTCTGACTGGCTACTGCTAAGGACAACAAACTGCCCCTCACTACTGGCTTGGTTTGTTCTACTGGAAGCAGCTATCAACCGACTCTGTTCTTCCAAGTCCTAGTGGGAAAGAAAGAAAAGGAACTAAATTAACTGTCTGCAGTCAAATGAAAGCTATGCACTTAAAAATACATACTTGAGAGCCATTTCCATCCTTTTGTCATAAAGATGTATGCAAAATTCTAGCAACCTTATAAAAAGAAAGGCTATGCCTAACCAATGCTACTACAAAATAAATTTGGCATTATTCTAGAAATTCTGTAAAATCCAAATTCAAACTTAAAAATTGCTGGCATTTTCCTCATTTTATTTTTTACAGCCAATAATCTAATTCAATCCATCATCTCTTACTATACACTACATAAGTAATCTCAATTTTCATAATAAAAGCCCCATAATGGATTACCCCATACCTCATGCCTTCCTCTTTTTCAGACCTCTTGTCCAATTCATTTTGCTGAATCTGGCATCACCTTCCTTCAGTAAGCCTATCAAGGGAAGCCTGATGACTTCAGTGTCATCTTTGCCACTTCCCCCTTCTTTGTCCATACATCCAACCCACTGCCAATTCTTACTGATGTGTTCTCCAAGTATCCCACAACTGTCTTCTTTTTCCATTCCTATTGTCAATGCCACAACCCATAAAAGGCTCTTAAAGTCTCTTGGATCACTTAATCAAGATTTTGTTTGGAAAATTGTGTAGCTTAAAATTATTCTTTTGTGGTCTTGATCCCCCAGCATTGGGGGGGGAAAATCTTTTAGTGGATAATGAATTGGCATTCCTGGCAACATTTAAAATTTAATTCACTTAAAGGGAAAAATGGTTTTCAGCAATAGCAATTTAGTCCATAAAACCTCTCAAAAGAGTGGCTTTGAGGGGCTGGGGATGTGGCTCAAGTGGTAGTGCGCTCACCTAGCATGCGTGAGGCACTGGGTTCGATTCTCAGCACCACATAAAAATAAAATAAAGATATGTGTCCACCTAAAAAAAACTAAAAAATAAACATTTTTTTAAAAAAAAGAGTGGCTTTGACAAGATAACCCTCACAGGAATATGAAAGTTCTGGTATGTTTATTTAACAGGAAGTCACACTACATGTTAATATAGCTTTTGTGTAAACATAGCAGACTTCAGCTGTTACCCTTTTCTGCTATTCTATGAATCATCTGATTATGAAGTGGCTGAGCAAGAAGAAACAAGACCTTCATTTGGAAATTCAAATCTGAAAGTCACAATTGTGAATTAAGTCTTCACAAACACCAGATAGAAGATTCAGACATTAGGGATGCATACCTTTTCAATCTGTTTTTGTTTATTGAGTTCTTTCTGTTGCTTCTCTTTTACTCTCTCTATTTCTTTTTGTTTTTCTGATGCCCTACGATCCTAAGAACAATAAATAAAACTAATGAATTAAATATGAAATGATTTTAAATTTTAGATATATCAATTAACATGACCCTTGTAACTTTTTATACCCTTCTTTGTATTCATAGGTATGGAAGCACACAAGGCTTCATTCTATGGTAGACATTTATCCAGATTATAAATGGTTTATCAGCAATATGAAAACCACTTTTGTTATAATACTTCAGTTAACATTCTTAGAAAATTAAGCATCTCTCAGATTCTTACCAGTTCAGCATGCAGAGCTATCTGTTTTGCCAGTCCAACAGAATCACAAATCTAAAAAGAGAAACAGTATTAAAAACAAACAAAAAGCCAAAAAACTCAAGTTCTTAAAGTAAAAATTAAGTACCCAAATAGCTGATATACATTTTTTTTTTTTAATTTTAGTTGTAGTTGGACACAATACCTTTACTTTATTTATTTATTTTTATGTGGTGCTGAGGATTGAACCCAGTGCCTCACCCATGCTAGGCAAGTGCTCTACTGCTAAGCCACAACCCCAGCCCATAACTAGTTTTATAACTCAACATAATATACCACTTCAACTAAAAGCTGATTTAAGGATGTGCCATCCCCTAAACCAAGTCTTTGTATATTTTCTCCATTTCTTGGGGGGGTGGGAGGGTGAAGGGTACTGGGGATTGCTTTACCACTAAGCTACATCCCTTTTACTTTTTTTTATTTTGAAACATAGTCTAAGTTGCTGAAGATGACCTTGAATTTAGCATTTCTCCCACCTCAGCCTCCTGAGTTGCTAGGTTTAAAGTCATGGACCACATCTCTTACTGCTTTCTATGAGTCTGTGAGCTTCCACTGATGGCTCTCCCTTCACAAACAATACTTCTCATTATCTCAAATTCATTACTGAGGTAGTTCAGCCCACAAAGAATGAGAGAAACAGTTGCTGATGATACTTGAAGTTGACTGATTATAGGAATATATTCTATTCCCAAGATAAGCTAATGAAGGGAGAAGATTTTACCAGCTATCAATGTTGAGGAAGACATGGATCTATATAGTCAGAATGCCAATCCCTAAGCTTAGTGCTCTTCAGAGCAACACGCTTTGGTCAAGCAACTCAATCATACTAGACAAAATCTGGGAGTTTTTTTCCAGAAATATTAGTAAAAACTGACTATAATATGTATTTTACAACAGGAACATTTTGAAAAGTCAAATACCTTTTCCCCCTCATTGTTTGATTCAAATATATAGCATACTGATGACAGATTACTTTCACTTCTCCCTCCTGATGTCCGGAGAACAAATCCAAAAAGCCGCTTATTTTCTTGGTGTGTAGCATACAAAACTACACAGGGTAATGGAAACTGCCACAAAAAACATCAGAAGTAAATATGAAATCTTCCAAACCATTACAGTAGCAATCAGATACACCTTTTTTTTCTTTTACCGGCGACTGAACTTAGGGGCACTTGACCGCTGAGCCACATCCCGAGCCCTATTTTGTATTTTATTTAGAGAGTCTCTCTCACTGAGCTGCCTAGTGCTTTGGTTTGGCTGAGGCTGGCTTTGAACTCATGATCCTTCTGCCTCTACCTCCTGAGCTATTGGGATTACAGGCATGCGCCACCGCACTCAGCTCAAATACACCATTTTTAACAGACTGGTAATCAAAGAACAATTAATGTCATATTTGGCTTGGATTACCAAAGAGAATAAGAGATTGATGAATGGTGGGTTTTATTAGTTATTAACACATTTTACAAAATCAAATTCAATAATAAAACTGGTCTATTTAACAAATGATTAAACACTTGCAACAATTTTAAACTAGATAACTATAAAATAATCTTGATCACCTTTTAATTCCTGCTATTAATTTTTTATATGCTCCCTAACTTAGGTATTAACACTAAGTATCATACCAGATCATGTTGATTCTTCTATGTTACATACAACATTCACCTATAACTTTTTGGAGCTAGCTAGAAAATTAACTACAAAGTGCCTAAAGAACAAATGTAACTGATACTATCAGACCTGAATATACAGAATCAGGATTATCAAGTTAATAAGATATGTGTATGCACAAAGGGACTTAAAATAACTCACTGTGAGTCTTGTAACTTGTGTCTGTGGATCAATTAACCTACAATAATTAAAAATTTAGCAAATTTTAGTTACGCTGAAATTATGTAAACATTTTTTCCTACAAGTTTATTTAGGGAAGGTTTACTTACTTTAAACAATCACAAGTGACTAATAAATGTGATTCTGTCATACGAAAGATGTTATGGATGGCCCGAGCAGCTAAGATTTGGCGCATTGTTTCATAAACAACATCCGGATGATCATCTGACTTCACCTCCATAGAACCAAGGAATCGGACAATAAATAACTGATGAAGAATAGAATCTATAACAGAACAAGGTACATTATGTATTTCCCACATTTCTTTTCCAAAAGAATAAAATATACTGACTGTTTCCTTTTAGATTTTCTAGTAAAACCCCTAAATTTAGAAATAACTTATCCTGACTACAGTGTTCAAGTTATAGCAAAAAAATAAGGCAATAAATACTTCAACAATGCAGCTCTAGGGAAAAAGAATTCCTTGTACTACTCTTAAAACTTTTCAATAAGTTTGGAAATATATATACAAAATAGCTACTGGAAAAATAAGAAAAAAATTATGCTCCAGAACCAGAAGTAAAACATCAGAAAAGCCTGAAGGACAGCTTAGGCATTGAGAATTTAACTATGAGATCAAAGTATGTGATATTCTCTAATTTTGTGTGAACAGCATCCCAAATCAGATTAAATTATGTTGTGTTATGTTATAGAGGAAATTTCAAAGTTTAAAAAAAAAAAACAGTATAGCAGAGGGACTGGGGTTGTGGCTCAGTGGTAAAGCACTTGCCTAGCATGCGTGAGGCACTGGGTTCGGTCCCCAGCACCACATAAAAAGAAAAAAAAAATACAAGTAAAAAAAAATAAATAAAGGTATTGTATTCACCTACAACTAAAAACAAAAACAGTATAGCAAAAAACAAAACAACAAAAAATCAAAACAAGTGTAAATGACAGATTAGTCACATGATTTACTACAAGAAATAGTTTTTTAAAATATAATTTTAGTTGTTAATGGACCTTTATTTTATTCACTTATTTGTATATGGTGCTCAGAATTGAACCCAGTGCCTCACACATGCTAGGCAAGCACTCTATGACTGAGCCCCAGCCCCAGCCCAAAAAGTAGTTTTAAATATAAGAAAACTGCACATCTGTTCTACCTTCAGTTTCAGATTTTGTACTTCCTCCAGATTCTCCAAATGGATTTGTACGCCTGAAAAGTTTAGAAAAAAATATAAATAGTTACCATGAGCCACATGGAGCAGATCTAATTAATAAAAAAAAAAAGTTTACACATACATTTTAAAAAGAAAAGCTCTACTCTGTTCTGTTAAGGAACAATACTGATAATCAAATTACTATACAACCTCTGCCTTCAAATTACTATACAACCAATGTTGCTGCATTTTAGATGACACAGCATGCAAGTTTCGCCACATAAAACAACAAAAATCAACATGATTATAAGCCATCTTGCAGAAGTTCTTCAATTTTAATAAGCTAGCATAGGGATACATTAATTTTGCTACAATATTAGCTGCTTAAGAGAAATGCCAGGGATTTCCTAAGACTGTAAGATCGTCTTTTTTAAAAAGGCTCTCTAGGTACATGTTGTGAATCAACTAGAAAGATATAAACATTTTTTTAAAATATTTTTATTAGTTACTGGTAGATCTTTATTTTATTTATTTATATGTGGTGCTGAGGATCAAACCCAGTGCCTCACACATGGTAGGCAAGTGCTCTACCACTGAGCCACAACCCCAGCCCAAGATATAAACATTTTCTAGTTTATACCTGTATTTCCCAAGTCTAAGGTACAGCTCAGTGGTAATAGTTCTTGTCTAGGATGCTCAAGGCCCTAAGTTTGATCTGTAGCACCATAAAAAAAAAACAACCCTGGGGGCTGGGGATGTGGCTCAAGCGGTAGTGCGCTTGCCTGGCATGCGCGGGGCGGGGGTCTGGGTTCGATCCTCAGCACCACATAAAAATAAAGATGTTGTGTCCACCGAAAAAACTGGAAAATAAATATTAAAAAAAACTCTCTTTCTCTCTCTTTAAAAAACAAAAAACCCCTGGATTTCTTAAGGCATAAGTAACAACGCAAGAAGAAAAGTGAACTAGAGAAAGAAGCTAAAAAAACTCTCTCCTTAGTGTGCTTGGCTTTTAGCCCACCCACAATGAAGGAAGAAGGATACCATTTAAAGCAGGTCTTAGAAACAGAGAGCTAAGTGGATCTAAAATAATATTGGTACTAAGGTAACAGGAATCTAATCTCTTTAATATATTCCTGGCCTATTATATTATATCAAATGCTAAGTATATTTCTGTGACCAAATATAAATGACTTTTCTTGGTCACAGCTTTGTATATCCAAATTAATTTATTATCAACTTTTGTTTTGGTTTGGTTTTGGTACCAGGGATTGAATCCAGGGGCATTTAACCACTGAGCTACAATCTCAGCCCTTAAATTTTTTGAGACAGGGTCTTGATAAATTGCTGAGGCAAGCTTTGAAATGGAGATCCTCCTGAGTTACTGGGATTATAGGTATGAACCACCATACCTACCTATTATTAATTTATTAAATACCCAAGCTATTTAATAAATGATTTTGCCATAAGTCACATTTTCTTCATCCAAAGCCAAAGGAAAATTTTAACTGCTTTGATAGGACTTTCTCCTTATATAAACAAAACATGAATCATTAATAATTCATAGTAGTGATAAGTTTTTTTTATCTTCCTAAAGATTTCTTATTCTGATACAAGATGTTTTTAATACACCTATAGCACATATATTGCCTTTAAGAATTTAAGTGTTATAACTGAAAGATACAACTCTCAACTTTCTTCTTGTCACAGTAAATACCCAAGAAGTAGACCTGATAAGCAATTCAGACTTAAGTATTTTTTAAATTAAATTATCTTTATTGAGAAAGATGAACTGAAAAACCTGTATAATTCTTTCCTACTAAAATTATATATGTGCACATATGTGAGAGATGACTCTCAAATGCAAAATTGGAATTATAAACCTTACAGGCCATCACTCACCTGCCTCCCTGGCCAGAAGTTTTGGCCTGGCCAGGCAGATCTTCACACACAGGAGAAATTATGTCAAACTGTATTGGGGTGTCTGGGGCAACAAGAGAATCTAGAGAAAGGGCAGCCAAATTTGTGGACTCAGATCCTAAAGATCCTGAACTGCTGGTTCGAGCTGTTGGTAGCCGAGATTGTCTAAGCACAAAGGAAAACAAGAAAGCACTGCCTTTAGTTTTCTTTTGGAAATTGAACAAACTATGAAAAAAAACTGTTTTAACTCAATGAGACAGTAAAGCAAATTTCAATAAAAACACAATCCCAAATCATAGGTACCTAACAACAGACTTCTTTCTTTTCAATTATTAAACTAAAAAAAATCACCTCTATCTAGAGATTTAGTTGAAAACACTAAGGAAATTTGAAATCATCATTTACTTAGCACTCTTACTGATGAATTTACCATTCTGAAGATAGACTTTCTCTGTTGTTAAGGGAACTATTTATTAATGTTACGTAGCACTGCTAAAATCAAAGTGCTCATGAAGACTTTAAATAGCCCATATAGTTCTTTAAATAACTCAAGTGTGGTAACTTACCCTGCTGGCCGCAGATTCTCATGCCTCTGCTGAAAAGAAGGGGAAGGAGTAACAGCTTCCAGAGCTGACTGATTTACTCGTGCAGCAGTTTCCTATTGTGATTTTTTTTAAAGGACAAATATTAGTCTTATGAGAAACCAAATATTTGAACATAATTCTGAATTGTCAGAAGGCTTCTGAGTTACACTAAAATATGAAGTAAAACTTCTAAAGTAGTTCTACGTTGTCTTGTCTTACTATTATGGCATAAAACTATAAACTAAAGTTTCCTATTGCTTCTTATAATCTAAAAAAAGTATGATTACTCTCTACTAATATGTATAATGTGTAAAATATTGGTTTTTCTACAAATTTTTAACTACTAAGTATCTTTAATTAAGATTTGTAATGCTAGAACCAAGCAGTCACTAGCACTATGGACATTCAATACATTTGTTGAACACAGGAATTTAGAAGGTATAGGAAATTTCACAAAATGAGTTATTATTTTGTAACTTTGCTGGTAAAGTTTTCATAATATATTTATATTCAGAAATATCTATAAGCTTATTAATTTATAAAGTTATCATGGATATTTTCAAAACTTTAAAGTGAGAAAGATTTCTAGTATTATTACTTTTTTTTTTTTTGTACTGGGGATTGAACTCAGGGACGCTTAACCACTGAACCACATCCCAGCCCTTTTTTTACATTTTATTTAGAGATAGGGTCTCACTGAGTTGTTTAGGGCCTCGCTAAGTTGCTGAGCTGGCTTTGAACTTGAGATCTTTCTGCCTCTGCCTTTCAAGTTGCTGGGATTACAGGCATGCACCACCATGCCTAGCTCTAGTAGTATTTTAACTTATTATTTACTTAAAATACCAGCTACATGAAAATGATATTTAGAGATCTGCTTCAATGCGTAAATAGTCAGTGTTATTCTATACACACTTAAAAAAAGTAATGATGTTAAATTTCATGTTTTTACCACAAACAAAATGGTCATTAAGGGCTACAGTTTGTAGCTCAGTAGTAGAATGTTTACACAAGCATGTGCAAGGATAAAATTTCTAGGAAGGAAGGAAGGAAAAGGAAAAAGAGAAGGAAGGTAGGGAGGAAGGAAAGGGAAGAGGAAAAGTAAGGAAGGGAGGGAAGGGAGGAAGGAAGAAAGAAAAACTTTAAATTAGGAAAACAACAAAACAGTTTTCTATTTCTGTGCCTCACTGCAAAAATACAAATATTATAATGGCACAAATTGATCCAAATTGCTATTCTCCTTAATATAGATATTATAATTCTGGATTACCTGAAAATATTAACAATTAGAGTTCTGATAATTGGCAAGAAAAAACTCTAAGTCTGAATTATTCAAATCTAATTGTATTCCCTAGGCAATAATAAATAATTCAATTTGCTTTTGGGGGGATTGGGAGGATACTGGGGATTTTAACACAGGGGCACTTTACCACTGAGCTGTATCTCCAGCCCTTTTTATTTTCAGATAAGGTCTCATTGCTTAGGTCCTCCCTAAATTGATGAGGTTGGCCTTGAACTTTCAATCCTCTGATCTCAGCCTCCAGAGTCATTGGGATTACAAGCATGTGATATCACACCCAGCTTTAATTTGCATATTATTTTTTGTTGTTCCAAAGTTACTTTATAAGAAGAAAAAGTTATATTGGCAGGAAATCAAGTTACTAAAATCAAAGGTTTTGTTTTCAGTTAGTATTGATTAAAAAAAAAATTTTTTTTTATTAGTTGTGGATGGACACAATATTTTTATTTTTTATGTGATTCTGAGGCTCAAACCCAGTGCCTCACGCGTGCTAGGCAAGCACTGTACCATTGAGCTACAAACCCAGTCCCTAGTGTTTTGTTTTTGTTTTTTGCAATACTGGGAATTGAACCCAGGGGTACACTCGCAGCACTCCATTCCAACCCTTTTTTTATTTGAGACAGGGTCTTTCTCAGTTGCCTAGACTAACCTCAAATTTGTGATTCTCCTGCCTCAGCTTCCAGAGATGCTGAGATTATAGCTATGCACCACCACATCTGGCACAATTTCACTACCTTTTGAAATAATTTATTGTTCTAGGAAAATCAGACACTCATAACATACATGATACAGTAAGCTACCCAAAGTCAAATTAAAAGATTATAGAACTTGAGAAATTATGACACAATTAATAGAAACCATGTAAGCCAAAGAATTATTATTCAATTGTACTAGATCTGGGCAACATAAAACAAAAATATTACCTCTGGATTTTCACTTAAGTATATTTGTTTAGATATATTGTTTATTGTACAAATCCACTGCAAAAGGAAAAAACAGAAAAATATGATTAATTTTTTTCAACAAATTTCTAAAGGACAATGTTCAATAAGCAACTAAATAAAAGTTTAATTAGAATAAATATATAATCTTCTTTAATAAGAAAACACCTTGGAACCGGAGGGAGTAGAGGTGGTAGAACACATAATAATTTACCACATACAAGGCCCTGGGCTCAGTCCCCAGCACCAAAAACAAAACAAAAAACACCTGGCATAACCATGTGCACATAAGAGAACATTCACATTTATAATTTTAAAGGTCCTAAATTTATTTCACACAGAAAATAAAAAGTATAGCAATTGTGTTAAATTATTATTTAATAATCTATATCTTTTTATATTACTCCCACCCTTAATCCCCACCAGACAACACAGTCTGAACTCTGATATCCTAATTCAAAAATTGAGAGATAAATATCTTACTGGTGAAAAAAAAAAAAAAAAAAAAAAA